CAAAAATAATTGTATGGTGGGGGTCATCACAACATGAGGAACCATATTTAGGAGTCACGGTGTTAGAAAGGTTGTTATAGGGCAAAGTTGAAAAGTGGGGCAAAGCATGAAAAGTGGAAAAAATGAAACATTAACTTGATGCCTTAAAAATGGAAGCAGGTGTACATTATAACCCTCATATTCACAGGATAGTGCCCTGGGTTTCATTTTTCGATATCCAGCAATGTACATCCTCTCTAGGTATTTGCTAAATCCAGCATGACTCTATGTTATTCTTGGGCCAAACATCCTTCATTTCAATAGAGTTCACTATTATCCATTGTTTCATTACAGTGCCAAGTTAAATATGTGCTTTAAAAAAAACAATAAAGGCTTTCATATCTAATGTCTTCATCAGATTTGTGCATGAACATGTCTTTAACCATTTGGACAGTGTTTATAATTTTGTGCTTTAAAAAAAACAATAAAGGCTTTCATATCTAATGTCTTCATCAGATTTGTGCATGAACATGTCTTTAACCATTTGGACAGTGTTTATAATTTGTTAACTAGTTTCATGGTGCTTTTAGACTGCACACTCATCATATTCGACTGACATTTTAATTAGCAAACCAATTAATGTGAAATAAATAGAAAGACTATCAGATGAATCTATTCTCATTGGAAAGCCATGTGGTAGCCACTCAACTCCAGGGATTATTGGATGAAACCAATTATCTTGACCCATCACATTCTGGTTTTAGGTCTAGCTATGGAACAGAGACAGCCTTGGTGGGTGACCTCTGCAAAGAGCTAGACAGAGGGAGTGTGTCCCTGTTGGTTCTCTTGGATCTCGCAGTGGCTTTTGATACCATCATCCATGGTATCCTTCTGGGCCGGCTCTCTGGGATGGGCCTTGGAGGCACTGCAGTAACTCCGCTCGTTCCTGGAGGGCTGAACCCAGAAGGTGGTGCTGGGGGACACCCATTCGGACCCCTGGTCACTGGCCTGTGGTGTCCCACAAGGCTCTTTTCTGTCCCCCATACTTTTTAACATCTACATGAAACTGCTGGGTGAGGTCATCCAGAGTTTTGGACTTCATTGTCATCATTGTCAGATAACACACAACTCTATTACTCATTTCCAATCCAAGGAAGCTCCCCAAGTCCTGAACCAGTGTCTGACAGCTATGATGGGCTAGATGGAGGCGAACAAACTGAAACTTGATCCAGACAAAACAGAGGTCCCCCTGGTCAGGCTCAAGACCGATCAGGGTATGGGTGACAACCCGTGCTGGACGAGGTTACACTCCCCCTAAGAACACAGAGCCGCAGTCTGGGGGTCCTCCTGGACTCAGCTCTGCTGTCACCTGGGATTGCAACATCAATGATCCATACTTTGTTTTTTAACACAATCGTGAGGTCAGGAGTGTTGTGCTCCAAAACTCTGTCTGTCTGAATTCGGAAGTCCCAGAGGAGTTTGATGTGTTCATTCTCTGTAACTTTTTCCGGCTTGTGATCCCACCAGTTCTTTGTTGCAGGCAGATGGTATTTGTGGCACAAGTTCCAATGAATCATCTGAGCAATGGTGTTATGCCTCTGCTTGTAGTCTGTCTGTACGATCTTCTTGCAGCAGCTGAGTATGTGATCTACTGTTTCAGAGTCTGGGGGGTGGGCCCCCTGGGGGGGGGTTGTGAGGGTGATGTCAGAGGGGTCGCCAAAGATCATCAGAAAACAGAAGTTTGGTCTCATTCTATCATTGGCGGGGTTCAGAATGCACTTTGATTGTAGGTGAACTGTAAATCCCAACAACTATAACTATCAAATGTTATTTATCGTTAGCTCAATTCCAGCTTGTATTCCCATTATCATTTTTTCCTCTTTTTCTTTTCTCAGTCTGTATGCTAACCATTTTCCTACTTTGTTGACTGATCCATTTTTTCTGTTTTGTATAACTCATTTTTCCCATCTAACTCAAAAGCATATACAATTGTGTTTGTAGGATTTGGATTTGATTTATCAATATTCATTATTGGCAGGGTGGAGCCCTCGGTGGTACAGTGGATTAAACCCCTGTGCCGGCAGGACTAAAGACCGACAGGTCGCAGGTTCGAATCTGGGGAGAGGCGATGAGCTCCCTCTATCAGCTCCAGCTCCTCATACGGGGACATGAGAGATGGGGCATTTTTTTTTGGTTGGCTTCAGCTCAGCAGCTCGGGACATGAGAGAAGCCTCCCACAAGGATGTAAAAACATCAATCATCCGGCGTCCCCTGGGCAACATCCTTGCAGACGGCCAATTCTCACACACCAGGAGCGACTTGCAGTTTCTCAAGTCGCCCCTGACACAACAAAAAATAAATAAATTGGCAAGGCATAACTTTTGTTCTTGTTTTTTTCCTCCTAATTTTTTCCAAAATCAAATTAATTTTCCCTTGGTTCTTCTGTTTTTGTATAAACAAACTCCTAACAAATGCCTTGCTTGCATGCCATACAGTTCTCATTTCAGTTTCTCTGTCCATGTTATCCTCAAAGAAGTATTTTTGTCACCTTACTATTTTTTGTATAATTGATTTATTTTTTAAAAAATAAACTCATTCAGTTTTCATCTAAAAATTGATTTTTCTTTCTCATTCTTAACACTCTGGTCTTATTGGATTATCTGCCTTGTTGACTCTGGTCTGTACCTTAACTTCTGTGTTGTGGATTTTGCCTTCAACTTTGGACTGAAGGCAAAACCCAAATCTTTGCATTTGGTTAGACAATTTCCTGGACAACTGGCCTTAACTATAATCCTACGTCTTATCCTTGCACCTTACTACTTTTCTGTCCAAAGTCTTAATTGTCTAGTTGTAATTGCTCTTATCCTTTTGCTGCTTTATCACCTATGCACTTTACTCATTGGACCTACCTTTAAATTGTTGTGCACCAAACCGTCTTCCTACAATGAGACTTCAATTATACTACTGATGGTTGTTCCTGATGCTTGCTTGATTGTTGTTATAATGTTGATTATGTTGTTTTTATATTGATTATTGCATTTCATACATGGTATGTTTTAACTGTTGACTTTATTATGCAGCGACGTGTTTTGCCCAGCATCCCAGAGCCCAAAGTCCAAATGCAAAAGACTCACAGACCAGAGTAAAAGTGAACAGAAAAATCTTTACTCAGCAGAGAGAAAATATAAATTGGTAATGTTACATGCAAAACATCAAGCAGTGCAACAATCTTACACAGTCTTTGTAAAAAAACAGAAAATAAGGAATCTTCATTTTACAGCAAATGAGAGATTAAATAAACCTTGAGTAAATGCTATTCCACCATAGCCTCCTTCAGACTGCTCCTCAGAGCAAAGCCTTTGTCCATAGGTCTCCTCAGAGAAAAGGCTCTCCAGAAGCTCTCCTTCAGGATCTCCTTCAGGATCTCCATAATGGTACTCCAGAATGTATTCAAGAAAACTCAAACAGATATAGCTCCTTGGGTGTGGTTCAAGATTGCTGGTTGACCTACATTGTGTCACATTGCCAGGGCTCTGCTGTTATTTCCAGCAGAGATGAATCAAACAGAAACCCAGTTTGATATAAAACAGTTTAATTAAAACAGCACTTACTTGCTGGCTGTTTTAAATATAAAACATAAAGATAGCACTCAGCCACAGAATAAACAAAAACTGATAGCAAAGCTACACTGTAGTCAAAGGGTCAGTACAAAGTCCAGGGATCAAGAGTCTATACCGTAGTCAAAAGCCAGTCCAAAGGTTCAAGGTTCCAAGATTACAGGAGACAGGTCAGGATACCAAAAATCCAACAGACCTGGGGGGAAAACCAGAAGCATCCACCACCAAAATATAAGAATACTTTTCTCCCAAAGATCATTTCCAAGGCTCACTCCTTATGGCCACAAACACCCAGCTGCAACCTATCTCTTGCATACCTCCACCCTTAATGGCTTTCACCCATGAACTCTTACTTACAGATTACAAACCCTTTAGAACTAATACATACATTAATCCTTCCATCACCAAGTACCATCAACTGCAGAACATATGATACATTGCAAGCTGCTCATGATAATTACACACAATAAGGTTTTTCTTCAACACACATATACCTGGTCCTACAAGGACTTCTCGTAACAGACTGGGCTTGGCCCCATGTAAGCTGCTGCAAGTCCCTTTGGGGACATGGAGGTGGGAGATAAAATGAAATTATTATTATATTATTATTATTGTACTATGCTATCTTCAAAGTGCCAGCTTTATTGACAGGAATTGGAATTCTTGTTCCTGCATAGACTCTGCTTAAGCTTGCAGTTCAGTGCCCTTAAACTCAGGAGGACTGGAGTTCAAATCCTTGGTTGGTCATGGAAACTAACTATTGGATATAGGTCAAGCCACACTCCCTGAGAATTGCCATAAGCTGGCAAGAACTTGAAGGAAAACAACAACAAAAGTTCTTCACCTTATAATTATCAGAAACATAGTGATTTGTTCTTCTTCTCAAGAGAGTTTTCCTGTGCAGGTCTTGAAGGCAAACAACCTGAGCATCAGAATCAAAGGCTACGTGATGAAATTTCCCAGCAATGTATCAGAAAAGGCATAAAACATCTCATATGTCTCAGCTTGGGATATTAGCTGGATAGATATAGTCAGGCTCACTTTTTCATCTCCCAAATCATATCTAGATAGTTGTGGTATTTCAAAAGATCCCACACACTGGAAGCTTGGTCTGAACAGCTGGCTATGACATTGAAAGGAGCAAGAACAAGGCAGGTTGTTCTTGCTCCTGATTGTTCTGATGCTCAGGCATTGCAAGTAGACAAACGCAGAACAATGCTACTGATACTTCTGCTGTTGCTTCTTCTGCCTCATGCTGCCTGTGGGATGCAGACAGAAAAATGCCTCTTGACTCTGCCAAGGGACCAAACTCAAGCTTTGAATTATTACAAGCCAGGAGACCATCTCATTAGTGGCATCATCTCTCCCAAATACGCAAACAACCCACAACTCAACAACTTTACCATGCCCCCTTTCATCAGTTTCGAGATGTGAGTAATGATGGCTGTGATGGTGAATTGTATTTGTTCTCTTTTGCTCTTGCAGTGGTTTCATTTATCAAACTGTTTTGTGCCTTTTGAAGAAAAACTGGGGCCTTCACTAAGGTCGCATTGGGTTGAGCAGGATTGTGTAAGATTTGACCGTTAGAGTTTCGCAGCTCAAAGAATGGTTGTCCTTGGCCATGTATTGCTCAATCTGCTTCAGGTTTTAGTTTGAAATTGAACAGAGCTGTGTTATGCCTCCTGCTTTTCTCTGTACAAATACTGGTAACTCGTTTGTATTGTTTCCTGGTCATTTGTATTCTTTTTTTGTTTATCCTTCTGTAGACCTCCATTGTGATTTGTTCCTCCTCTTATTCTTACACATACTCATTTTAAGTCTCACCTCATTCATAAGCCCCTAAATGAGAGAGAAGAAATAATTGGATATGTTTACTGAAGACATCTTTGAAAACTTAGCAATGAGGAAAGACTCCAGCAGCAAGGAGAAGATGTTCCCACTGCCCTACCTCCATGCAACATCAGGGAAGGGAGGCAATCTGATGCATCCACCTTGTCCCCTTTAGACACTTTTAACATATTCATCTCACTGAATATGTTAAATATGTTTCCAATTCTGCTCTGAGTATCTAACTTTCAAGACATTTTTGTTCTTCATTTTTCAATTATTTTACCCATTTCTGACCCTACATGAAAGTTTCTAAACAAAGATTGGATGGCCATATCTTACAGCCACTCTAGCAGCAGATTCCTGCACTAGAAGGTAGCTGGATTATACGACCACTGGGATCACTTCCAAGTCTATGATTCTATGGAAGGCACACTATTGTTTATTCATTCAGTTGCTTCCGACTCTTCATGAACTCATGAACCAGCCCATGCCAGAACTTCCTGTCGGCCATCACCACCCCCAGCTCCTTCAAAGTCAATCCATCTTGCCCTTGGTCTGCCCCGCTTCCTTTTTCCTTCTTTTCCCCCCAGCATCATTGTCTTCTTCAAGCTTTCCTGTCTTCTCATTATGTGGCCAAAGTCCTTCATCTTTGCCTCTACTATCCTTACCTCCAGTGAGCAGTCAAGCATTATTTCCTGAAATATGGACTGGTCGGATCTTCTGAGGTCCAAGGCACTCTCAGAATTTTCCTCCAACACCACAGTTCAAAAGCATCTATCTTCCTTCGCTCAGCCTTCCTTATGGTCCAGCTCTCACATCCATAGGTTACTACAGGGAATACCATTGCTTTAACTATGCGGATCTTCATTGCCAGTGTGATGTCTCAACTCTTCACTAATGTATAGAGATTGGTCATTGCTCTCCTCTCAAGATAGGCACACTCTTCCTACAAAATACATTACAAACTTGGATAACTCATTTAAATTTGGGGATAAAACCCAGTGCATTTACCACTTCAGCTATCTTCTTTCATTAGAACACTAGAGTAAAAGAATGAGCAGGTTGGGTCTTTCTTCTTATTGTACATGTTCTACAGTAAGCTCATGCAGATATTCCACAGGACCAAATCCATAGAGCAGTGGTTCTCAACCCGTGGGTCCCCAGGTGTTTTGGCCTACAACTCCCAGAAATCCCAGTCAGTTTACCAGCTGTTAAAATTTCTGGGAGTTGGAGGCCAAAACATCTGGAGACCATAGGTTGAGAACCACTGCCGTAGAGCAACTAAAAAGTGAAGGTTCAGGCAGCCCTTTTTTCTGTGGTATTTTCAAAGGCATGACAATTGTAAATTGCCCAAATTCCTCCAGAGTATTTATGAGATGAATGTTCCCAGTCTAGACCTTGTTCTTGCAGGGGTATTGAGGAAAGAACATTCACCCAAGGGTGGAAGGATGAGGAAAGTACGAGTAAGACCCTATGAAGCTTGTAAGATGGGTTGGGTATCATAAATGTCAGCAGCTGAGGAACATGTCAAGTCAGGAAGACAGGAGACTTCTAAATATACATTATTAAAAATAATAAAGCTGACTCCCTCGTAGATCTACAGAAGACCATAGAGGAAGTGCAGGTAGATGCACATTCCTTCCTGCAGCCAACTGCAGGTGCCCAGCCTGCAGATACAGAAGCAACTCATGTTGAAATGTGGTGGGTGGGGGTGTTGATTCCTATTATTGAAGTAGCTAATAACATAGTAGTAGTTGCAATGGTTAAAGAAATCCCCGGAATTTTGATTATTTTCTTGGATGGCTGTTGACTTTGATGATATTGACAGCTTCAACAATAGGTATCAGCAGTTTCAACAACAGATCATAGAACTATAGAATTAGAGAGTTGGAAGAGACCTCTTGGGCCATCCAGTTCAACCCCTGTCAAGAAGCAGGAAAACCACATTCAAAGCACCCTCGACAGATGGCCACCCAGCCTCTACTTAAAAGCCTCCAAAAAAGGAGCCTCCACCACACTCTAGGGCAGAGAGTTCCAATGCTGAACAGCTCTCACAATCAGGAAGTTCTTCCTCATGTTCAGGTGGAATCTCCTTTCTTGTAGTTTGAAGCCATTGTTCTGTGTCCTAGTCTCCAGGGCAGCAGAAAACAAGCTTGCTCCCTCCTCCCTATGACTTCTGCTCAAAGATGACAATCTTTCAAGAGGAGCCTCCCTATCTATCATCTTAGGATGCACCTGAATAGTTACTTTTGAGTGTCTACCTTCACTATGACTACTAACAAGATGTCTAAGATTTCTAGCGCCTGACAGTTGATAGCTAATACAAAACGCATATCCATGTGTAACTGTTGTGAATGACATTTCTTTTTCTTTATTTGATTTTTCAGTATACGTGTAACAAGATACTGGCACATCTTGTCATTTGTGTTTGCCATTCAGGAGATCAACCAGAACCCCGCATTCTTACCTAACATCACTCTGGGTTACAACATCTACGAGACCTATTTTGATGGGAAAATCACTTCAGATGCCATGATTGACCTTGTTGCTGGAGGAGGAACTAATATTCCAAATTATAACTGTCAAATAAGGAATAGTCAGCTGGCTGTTCTTGAAGGAGCTGAATCTGGCATCTCCATCCACATTTCAACCATGTCAAGCATCTACAAAATTCCACAGGTAAAAGTTGGGGTGGTCTGATCTGAAGATGTGTATGAAACATTACCACCAAACTACATTGTTGGGTTGTACAATCCACCAAACCAGTTTACTATCATCTGCTAACATTACCCAAAACATTTATTTCCTCCTTGTTGATACATTTCTGTCTCTTTTATCTTTGTATAACATTTCATTTTGTTTTTACTGCTTATAGCAAAATTACAATTATGAAGTAGCAACGAAAATAATGTTATGGTTGGGGGTCAGCACAACATGGGGAGCTGTAGTAAGGTGTTGCGGCATTAGGAAGATTGAGAAACACTGGTATATGGCTTCATCAAACTCCATTTTAGATACTGGTTCTCAGGTTCAGACACTGGAGTTCCAGACCAGGTCCTGAGAGCTGGGAACCTGAGCAATATAGGCAGCCATGTTGCTGGACAAAAATAAATTGAGATGAGTAAATAGTTGGCCTTTATCCAGAAACACAAAGCAGCCCATTAATTTCCTCCTCCTTTCCTTATTAGATAAGTTATGGCTTTGCAGCTCATGTTCTTGATGACAAAGCCCAGTTCCCGTATGTCTACCGGATGATCCCAAAAGAAGAAACCCAGCTCTCAGGGATTATCCAACTGCTGCTGCATTTTGGTTGGACATGGATCGCTCTCTTAGCTCCAGAGAATGACAATGGAGAAAGGTTCATAAGAGCTTTGACACCTCTGATGGTCGAAAGAGGGATTTGTGTTGCTTTCTCGAAAAGATTGTCAGAGCCAACATCCTTGGAAAGGGTGCACAAATTGCTGGCCGAACAGAATGAATTGGTTGCCAAGTGGGGGCAGGTCAATATATTTATTTGCTATGGGGACTCTCAAGAAATATTCTGTCCTCTCACCATTACGCACGGAATTGGCAGCAAAGTCTGGATTACAACCGCTTTTCAAGACATCAACTTGAACTTGTCATATGATCATGACTTATTCTTGTACATCCATGGTTCGTTGTCCTTCTCCGTGAAGTCGAGAAAAGGGAGCAATGCTGATGATTGCGACCCCTTTTCCTCCATCACAGAACACTTTTGGATGAATGCTTTTCATTGTTCCTATTCAAAGCATGTGTTTTCCTTGAAAAGATGGACAAAATGTACAGAGAAAGAGAAACTGGAGGTTCTAGATCAGGAGAAGGTTGAGGGAACCCTGTCTCAAGACAGCTACAGTACTTACCACAGTGTCCATATGGTGGCCCTGGCTCTTAAAGCTGCCTATTCCTCCAGATCCAAGTGGATATCAGTGGTGCTTGGAAGACATCGGTTGGAGGATCAAAGGATCCACCCATGGCAGGTAGTTTCCATTTGTACTATTGTCCAACCCTGGAATCATAGAATCATAGAATCAATGAGTTGGAAAAGACCTCATGGGCCATCCAGTTCAACCCCCTGCCAAGAAGCAAGAATATTGCATTCAAATCACCCCTGACAGATGGCCATCCAGCCTCTGTTTAAAAGCTTCCAAAGAAGGAGCCTCCACCACACTCCGGGGCAGAGAGTTCCACTGCTGAACGGCTCTCACAGTCAGGAAGTTCTTCCTTTGATTTTCTCCCTTTTTCCACTTCTTGTGCATATTCCTTGGACCTCATAGTTGTTGTGTATCTTATACTCATTCCCTACTTATGATGACACTAATTTGAACATGTCATAGGATTTTCTTGATAAAGTTTCTTCATAGGAAATTTGTCTTTGGTTCCATCTGAGAGGCTCAGAAAGTGTGACTTTCCCAACGTCACATAGTCAGTGAATTTCCATAAACAATTTCTCAACCTTCCTAATACCACGACCCCTTAACACAGTTCTTCATGTTATGGTGACCCCCTCCCCCAACCATAACATTATTTTCATTTATTTATTTATTTATTTAAGTATTTATATTCCACCCTTCTCACCCCACAGGTGACTCAGGGCAGATCACAAAGCAAACATTCAATGCCATAGACACACAACATATATAGACAGACACACAGAAGCTATTTAACTTTCCAGCTTCATAAGGGTATGCTTCGAATTCTGACCACCGAGTGAGCTGTCGCTTTATCATCCACTTGTGACCCCGAAGGAGTACTTCCTCATTCTTTTGCATGCTGCTGGAGAGTTTTATGGCATCGTAAATTTGTTAAATTATCCTCCCTGCATAACTGGTATCTAAATTTCCTACTTGACAGCTGCAACTGTCTTTTGGGCTGCAAAGGTCAACAGCAAGCTAGAGAAATGGTCGGGAGCGAATGTAGCTGACTCCCAGCCAGTTGGGCTACAGTCCCAGTGCATTATCCACAATCATAGTTATTCGGCCAGGTAACTCACATACATGTGAATTCTAATTCAGTTTGTTTACTTCTCCGTAAGCCTAGACGAATGGTTGGGAGCTTACTCCAACCCAGGCTGGCTTTCAGCCAGTAGTGATTTTAATGCAGCTGTCGCCCAACCAGCTGCGCCACAACCTGGTTGTTGCTACTTCATAAATGTAATTTTGCGACTATTATGAATCATCATGCAAATATCTGATATACAAGGTATATTTTAATTCACTGGACCAAATTTGGCACAAATATCAGATACACAGAAATTTGAGTACTGATGCGGTTGGAGGGGATTGATTTTGTCATTTGGGATTTGTAGCTGCTGGGATTTATAGTTCACCTACAATCAAAGAGCATTCTGAAGTCTACCAACAATGGAATTGAACCAAAATTTTGTATCTTAGAATCATAGAATCCTAGAGTTGGAAGACACTTCATGGGCCATCTAGTCCACCCACCCCCCGCCAAGAAGCAGAAAAATCACATTCAAAGTACCCTCAACAGATGGCCATCCAGCCTCTGCTTTAAAACCTCTTGGTCAGTAGTGATTTTAATGCAGCTGGCTCCCAACCAACTGCGCCACAATCCGATTCTTTTGGTTATCTTTTCACCTTGCCTAAAGTGCCTCTGTCTGTTAAGGGTCTTAATCTTAACAGAAGGTATACAGATAGACCCCGAGTAAAGCCAGACACTATAGTTTTTCCCAAAGGCTTGGGCATGCCATCACAGAAGTTGTGAGTCAGAGTGAGCTCCAAACTGTCAGTCCTAGCTTTCTGACAACATAGCAATTTGAAAGCACACAATGTGCCTAGGTACCACCTCAGCGGGAAGGTAAAAGGACTCCCCATGCAGACATGCTGGCAAAAAGATCAGAGATATATATGGACAGCAGGCTCCTCAGTATGGAAAATGGAACAAGAGCACCTCCCCATGGTCTGAATTGAGCATTGCCTCCAGGTGCCAGAGATGGAAAAAAAGGGAAAGCCTTTACCTTATCTGTGTAATGTATGCCATTCTTTGTGGAAAAGGCACATAATGTTTGCCTATTAGGCATGTGCAATCCATGGTTCTAAATGGTTCTAAGGTACTTACAAAACTAAAGTTCTGGTGGTGAAAACTAGGGGGGGGTAGTGCTTTGCTTCTACGGTGTTGCTAAAGTTCTGGTGGCGAAACTTTCAGAATGCTAACATAACTTTCAAAATTTCATTATAAATGGCAGTTCCGAATAGATTCTGTCATAAAAATCGCCAATAATGAAATAAAAATGAAATTTTGAAATTTTTGTTAGAGTTCTGAAATTTTCACCACTAGAACTTTAGCAACACTGTAGAAGCAAACCACCAGCGCCCCCTAGTTTTCACAACCAGAACTTTAGTTTTGTAAGTACTTTACAACCATTTAGAACCATGGATTGCATATGCCTACATCTGTACTGTAATCTGCTCTGAGTCCTTCTGGGGAGATAAAGCGGAATAAAGTGATCCTTCCTCTCAACTGAGGTTGTTTTCTTCTAACCGGTGCATTTTCCCTCCTTCTAGCTTCATTATTTCTTAAGAGAAATACCTCTTTCTAATAGTTCTGTAGCTGGACACGAGAATGGGAAGATTGCTGCTGGCTTTGATATTGTGAACTGGGTGCTGTTTCCTAATAAGTCTAAAAGAAGCGTGAATGTTGGGAGCGTAGAGGCCCAAACAGGCTCTGATGTAAAATTTGCCATTAACTCACAGGCCATTGTGTGGCCCTTGAAATTCAACAAGGTAAGTGCAATTATGTATTATCTCTGGAACAGTTGTTGAACTCTAAGGAATTGTTGAATTAATACAGATGGTACCAGATCTGCAGTACCATGCAAAGGGGTCTTGTAGAACTTCTAAGGGTCCCTCCAGACAGGCCTTATAGAGGCACTCTTATAGAGGCAAGACAGAGGTACTCCTGGTCAGTCGCAAGGCCGAACAGGGCATAGGGTTACAGCCTGTGTTGGATGGGGTTACACTCCCCCTGAAGACAGGTTCGCAGTTTGGGAGTGATGCTGGACTCATCGCTGAGCCTGGAACCCCAGGTCTCGGCAGTGATCAGGGGAGCATTTGCACAATTAAAGCTTGTGTGCCAGCTGCGCCCGTACCTTGGGAAGTCTGACTTGGCCACGGTGGTCCACACTCTGGTTACATCCCGAATAGACTACTGCAATGCTCTCTACATGGGGCTGCCTTTGAAAACTTCTCGGAAGCTCCAATTAGTCCAGCGGTCGGCGACCAAGTTGTTAACTGGAGCTGCGTACAGGAACCACTCCTCTGTTGCGCCAGCTCCACTGGCTGCCGATTAGCTTCTGGGCACAATTCAAAGTGCTGGTTTTAACCTTTAAAGTCCTGAACGATTCTGGCCCAGATTACCTGTCCAAACATATCTCCTGATATGTTCTATCACAAAGCTTAAGATCATCAGGAGAGGCCCTGCTCTCGATCCCACCACTCTCGCAAACGCGGTTGGTGGGGACAAGAGACAAGGCCTTCTCAGCGGTGGCCCCCCCTCTGTGGAACTCTCTCCCTAAGGACATCAGGTTAGCCACCTCCCTCCTGTCCTTTAGAAGACAACTGAAGACCTGGCTCTGGGGCCAGGTGTTCAATTAGAGGCCAGCGGCAATAGGAAAAGGAAATTTGGATTTTGTGACATGGATTCTCCCGGCTCATCTTGGTATTTACTGGCGCATTAATCTATTAATGTATTGTTACATTTTGCTGATAGTGTACAATGTTTTAAAATGATTTTATTGTGAATTGTAATTTTTATGGTATTTATGCTGTTGGCATCCTCTGATGCTCATGTGAGGCCACCCTGAGTCCCCTTTGTGGGGAGAAGGGCGGGATATCAATATATGAAATAAATAAATAAATAAATAAATAAATAAATAAATAAATAAATATATTCCAGGATCTGATCCCAGGCTTGCTGTTTATCCCAGATTATCCTATAATCCAGTTTAAAGCAGAAAACTTGGGATCAGATCCTGGGATATAGGGCCTGTCTGGAAGGGCCCTATGACTAACTGAAAGAAAGGAAATAATTATATAAGTTTTCCTAGGTTTCAGTCTACTTCTTCAGATACAAAGAGGGAAGTGCCTAGGAAGAGGTCTTATAAGTAGAATGTATTTGCAAATTGCAATGGAGGTGCTATAACCTCATGTCTATTGAGTAGGAACATTTGGATAGTTGTATAGTAGCCCCTTGACTTTCATGGGAGTTAGGGATGCAGAACAGCCATAAAAGTGAGAAAACAAAAAAAAAGGACCTAGGAATTACTGCATTCTCCAGGACAACTCTATGACCAACCTCCAGGCCTGGGCCTTGTGGCTACTCCCTTTTTGGAAGATGGGAAAAGCTACCTCAATGGAAGTCATGGATAGCATGGATGAGGGTTTGCTGAGGACGCTTCCAGACAGCACTAAATCACAGGTTTTAAACAGGGGCAAAAAATCCCAGGACTTCAGAAGAGGTCCACAAAGAGACCTCTTGGTCCTGGGATTTCTGCCTCCGTTGTCCAGACTTGATGCATTGTTGTGAGATTTAGAGGTTCCCAAGATGGCCACTCCAGAAATTTTGGCACTTTTTTTAAAAAAAACCCTCAAAATGTGGATATGTGGAGATTCAGATATGCAAATCACTGCAAAAGTTAAATTCTTTGTCCTGGCCAGAGAAACTGTGCCCTCCACATATTTCATGGAGTTTCTGGCACACAAACAAAAATTTAGCCTCCTACCCAAGTGTCACCACCTTTTTAGGAACTGACCAATCAGGAACAAACATCTAAAACCCAGGAACAAACTCAGATAAAAAAAATCCCATGATTTCCAATTGCAGGGACATCCACATATTCAACTCAAAATCTCGATATTCCTGCACCTAGAAATCTCACTTTTTTGCCTTTTGCAGCGATGACTTCTGTGTTTACAGGGAATGGTGTCTGGCCACCCTCCTGTTTGGAAGCTCCTGGGATAAAGGTACTGTCTGAATGGCCCTGAGTGATGACTTGGCTATACAACTACTCAACTGTTCAATACTAGTTCCTGCAAGTCCACTTATGTCTGCAGTAAAGCCATGACAGGATTCTTGTGTCCATTTCCCACCTTCCCCATTACAACTCCCTATGACTTCTCTATTTGGACCCTTTGCTTTTACCTCCTAGACTGTGCCTCTCTCCAGGTGCACTGAGAGTTGTCGCCCTGGCAATGCCAAGAAGAGCCAGGACGGAAAGCCTTCTTGTTGCTATGCTTGTGTTCCTTGTCCGGAAGGAACCATCTCTTCCAAGGAAGGTTGGTGTCCTCAGAGAGAAATCTATCCCTTGGGAAATGGGAAGGATGGAAGATCATTCAGAAATTTTATTTGTTTGTGGGGAAAGGTGCCATAGTAGCTGCTCCCCCTCTGCATTACACATTGGGGTTCTCTGATCTCTT